ACTCTGAAACACTAAAATAAATATACAGCAAACCAGCGTACAATGAATTGCCATTTTTTGCTGGGGAAAGAGAAAAAGGTGGATTTAAATTTGACATTTTAAAACATACAATTTTTAATGTTTTAAAAACATCTGCCATGCACTGAAGTTTACCTTGGACTATACGCAAAACAACCCATCTTAATTAGAGAAAATAAAAAGAAATTCCTTCATTCATCTATGGTCTCTATTTTATATGTACTTGTACTTTCATGTTCTTTCAAAGAGCTGAATATTATTCACCACCACCCAGTACTGACCAGGCCTGGCCAGGCCTGGCCCTGATGAGCTGCAGAGATCTGATGAGATTGAGCTACTGTACATGGTGGCCACACTGCACAACAAAAACACAGCAATGTCAAGATCCGTTGTCAATTTTAAATTTACCTTTTAATTAAATAGAATGCTTAAAGTGACAGGAGTGCTACAGATGTTTACATGTCAAAGTTATCTTTACTGCTGAATGATTTGGGAAAGGTCGTTTCAGGCATTTAATTAAATGCTTAGTTCAATTTTATTACTTAAAACCTCAGGTGGAGCAGAAACACATTGAGCACATTGAAACAGGAGACAATGTGATCCTTCAGTAGCTGTGAAACAAGTGGAATATGTTTACAGTATATGTTTATATCACATTTACTTTCTATGCCATGGTTTTGCAGCATTTGCATTGTGGTTTGATTTGGCATGATTGTGCAATGACTTCAATAAGCTTTACAATACTTTGCTTTAATCAGGCTACAGTTCCTATCTACAGGTGATTATTGGAAAAGGGGGTGATTACAGATGAATTAATACAATCAGAATATCGTAATTGTGCTCAAAAGAATATGCTAATATAAAGTCCAAACTTACCAAGAACTTGATGAGATCTTTTCAAGAAAAAAAGCCCAGATTGGCTTTACAGTCTGTGTGGAAATGAGACATTGAATTAGAGTCAAGGGGGAACACAAAATTTCAGCCTGTCGAAAATCGTTTGAAATATTGCTGCTAATTTCGAAATGAGGTGAGATATGAATTGAAATCACTTCGTAATGGACAGTGATTAAAACAAGAGGACTCCTCCATGTTGTTGTAGAACACTTGTTGCTATTGATACCTTTTCATGTACAAGACAGTACAAGTAATGTTTGTTGAGGTAATATTACGTAGTCCAATTGAAAAATACACCTCTGAAAGAATTCTATTAGGGTAAATAACAAAACCACAATTTCAAAACAAACCTTCAGTTACCAGACTTATCTTGGGATGAAGAAGGATCCTTGAGTGGTTCCGCTGAAACTTCTATTAAGTGAGTTTATGCTGCTCAAGCAGAAAAGAGCACCCTTTTCAGTGCATGGCCATAAACTCTCAGGCCTCCTCTAATCCTTGACAAATGAATGGAAAGATGAGCCTCCATGAGTCACAGTTAATACAAGGGGGTATTCAGTTACCCAGAACCGGTAATTAAAAAGGGCCTTCAGCCAAGTACATGCCTTGGAAATAGAAGGATGTCTTAGGACACTAAATCCTCCAATTATGAGCTTAAAACTTCATACTACCCCAATTTCCACAATGCTTTGGGTGCTAGCCCCGTGAAGAACGAAATTTGCAAAAAGTTTATGCATTATCTTCAGCTTTTGTAGATCTATGGCTTGAAGAAGCATCTTGTGAGGATTTTTTCCAATAACGCATGTGTTTGGAGGTTTGCTTCTAAAAATGCCTTGACTCTATCTTGCTACCCTGCAGGAGGTCTCCTTTATTTGTATATAATTAATCAAAGTTATGTGCTTACTTTGAATAGTGCTGCCCTACGTGTCTTGATCTCCTTCATAAACTAAGACAATGTATCCTCTAATTAAAATAATACAAGCCTTACAAAATAGCATGTTTCACTGTAACACTGTGTTTATAATAGAGCAAATCTGGCACAACATACCTATGTTTTTTTGGATGATTATGACCACACAGGAATCTCAAAGTTTTTCAAGTTTTGCACACTACATAAAAGTGTTTACTAATTGTCCAGGGTCATTGCTAGAACACAAACAATGAAAACAATTCTGAAATCCACAAAGACTAAAGAGACCTTTGTTTTATTTTTACAAATTATTATTTCTTTTTTCTATACAACTTTGGCACCCATTTATTCCATTTACAGCATCAAACAACACTGATGACAAAATTGAGCCAGTGACAAAATGTTTTGCAAAATAGTGTTATACTGTACCATGTGATGTTCTACACATGATTTTGCACTTCATGAAAGGATGAAGATTGTCATAATTCTTAGGAAACTGTGTGCTAACTGCATACAGGACAGTTTTTTTCATGCTCTAGTTGGGAATTACCTTGGGAATTAGTTCATTTTCCAAAATTGTATTTTAGAGTGAAACATTTTTATTTATATATCTGTTAAAGCCAATTTTTAGCTGAAAGTGTTGCTTTGTGTCTGTGAAGTCCCTAACCATGATACAGGAAAAAACTCCCAGCATTAGGATTTATAATACTACTACACTCTATGTTTGTAAACTGTATTTCCAAGAATTGCTTTTCTATAGCCTGCTATCAGTATTCTTTGCAAGTTTGTTAGAATGTTATCAAACAATTTGAGGTCTCGAATGAACAAGGTTAAGAATGAAGATACTATAAATGAGAGCTCTACCAAAGAGGTAAGGGCTGAATAGACTTTTCAGAACCCATCAATCAATACATCTCTATACATTTTATGTGATTAATCTGACCTAATGTTGCATGGAAAACAGATTCTCTTCAACGCAGTGAAGAGTCAGTTTATAGTTTAAAAAGCTCTCCAACTCTTCTTACAGAACTTATTTTTCTCAGACAAATTATCCCCCCACACACAAAAAAGTATGTACTCTAATTTTATGAACCTTCATCAGCTAATTTTGTGCAGATCAATGACATTGATGACATTAGGTAAGCCTGGCTTAGAGGGAATGGAGGCAGAACAAAATAGCTCTTTCATGATAACTTAGAACAAATAACCAAAGGGCAAAGGTCGGAGGGCATGACCCCATGGGCAGCAAGGGGTTCTTTGGCCATGGCCGGTGGCTAGGAGATGAGAGGGAGCTTTGAGTCTTCAGCCACCCAGGAGAGGAGGAACAGCTGAATAAACAGCAAGGCAAAGGACTGGAGAACAAGTCAGCGCTTCTTTAAGCAAAGAGCACAAGCCTGCTTTCTTCGTGTGCCCGGACACCGGCTCGCTGGGGAGAAGGACGCAGAGTCACGCCTTGCTTCCATCTGTCCATGGAAAACCTCCAGCTTCACATCGACAGACTCAGCCAAAGTCACAGGAAACTCCTACAATATAGCCATTTAGGATATTCCGCACAAAGAGACACAACTATAGAAAATAAATTGAAAGCATTTCAACCTGGCTTTTTTTTACAAAAATTGGGTTTACAAACCAGATTCTTTAAGAAGATGCAGCAAGCTGAGTTTACATTTATTGTTGTCTTTGCTACTCTGTCACTTGCTGTTTATTTATTATTTTATTTGCTTAGGATGCACATGTCCAGGGTAGAGAAATCAATAGTTGTTTTTTCAACATTGAATCCATTGAAAAGTGAATATGTAGTTTTAACTAGCAGACTTTTTGCCTGTTCAGAAAGGAAATTCAAAGCAATGACAAAACAAACAATAACCTCATAAATAAATCTGGCAGATAGCCTGAATGATCCCTACCTGGTGTCACTCAACACCTGACAGGTAAGGGGGAGTGGTTCAGACATTAAAAATGATTTTCTCTTTGTGCAGTTCCTTAGCCTATATACCATTTGGTTTTTACATGAGCTTGCCAGGACTAGTATTCTTAAAGCAACAACATTTTATTGCATTTTAATAGTATGCTCTTCCAATGTTTTAAATGATCTTCATTTCATGTGCAACAGGTGAACAGAAAAGAGGCTCTGCTCACTGCCATACTCTAATTACAAAAACTGATAGATACTGTAGCAAAGCTGACCTGTTGATTAGTAATGGTAATTAGAAGATTTCCACACTAATATTATTACACTGAAAGAATCATCCTCCTGGCTATGGCACTTTTTAAAATCTGACTTTAAGGCAATAATTTTCTTCTGTGAGAGTGCAGTGTTGTGTATATAGATGGATATGATAAATCAAGCGTTCATGGTTCCATTAACTCCAGGGATTAATCTTTCCCTGAAATGTCCATGTAGAAACAGCAGGTGGAGTGCTTGCTCATTATGAAGATGTAATTCAATCGGCAAGAGACAACAGGCACTGTTCTGCTGACATTTATCTGTAGTGTTAATGGCATTTGCAGCACACTGAAAAAAACTCTCATCCCAGTGCTATTAGGAAATGCTCCACCTCATAACTTCCTCATGAAAACACTTAGCCAAACCGTAAAACACTGAAGTTTACCATCATTAACCCTTAACCTTACCACAACCCTTTCATTGCTTAATGTCCAGTGGCTTACCACTGCTGACACTCCATCAGTCATTCTCGAAAATAATGGTTTGACAGGAAATCAAAGCAGCCCTCCCCTACTAGTCTCTGAAGATTGATTCATAATCAGTTTTATACCAGTTGCTAATTTTTTCTTTCTCTTTAATAAGACATTTCTAAAAATTGAAATGCGTAGAAACAAGATAATCAGGGTTGGAAGTGTACTGTATTTGGATAAGAATGGCTGCATATTCCACATGGGGCTGTAAAATATCCTTTTTGTCTCCAAGTATGTGCACTGAGTTCCAGTGCTGAGGAGAGAGTTTTTGAAGACCTCGTGAATATTGTTATACTGTAAATATAATCCTGTGACTTTAGAGATATCAAATACTGAAACCGACTAACACCATGGTGTAGAATAGTCAACTCTGTAGTCCATGGACTTGGAATACAATTATTGTGGCAGACTTACTCACATGAAGGTCAGTGTGCAAACGTCCCTTTTGCCATTTTCAAGAATCTGCCATAGTTACAAAATCATGGCTACCACCAGATCTGATGTGTCGAGGACTGAAGTGTACCCTTGCACATAAATTCTTCAATAAGTCTGTTTTTGAAGAAGCTGGAATGTACAGAAGTTTATTTGCTTATTTACATTATTGTGGTACAATAAAGCACAGTAAACACTATGTGAATCTTAACACAAAAAACTTAATGAATTCAAGGAAACTGTGTAAGCATGGACAAAGGGCGCAATGCAAATTCAAATATCTTTAAGAGGGCCTCCAAAGAGCTCTCTTCCTGAGAGCTGTTTCAATTATGCACCAGCTTTTCAGAAAAATAACTTTATAGGGTTCCTTGCTCTTTGTGAGGGGTTCAGACTGTCGTGTACTGAATTTCACAGGCCAGTATTTGAGACAGCATTGACAACTCAACACAGAACATGCCTGATCTGTAGGCACAAGGCACATGCTGTAAGACACATTATATTCCCGTAAAATCAAGAGTTGAAACCAAGCCAAAACAATTTCCTAGTGTAAGACATTAAGGAATACCTTAGCAGAAATCAGACAATGCCTTCACTAGAGGCAAAGTAATGCACATAAGTATAATCTCTGGGTTTTCCCCTGCTTAGTTCCACATATCTCCATATCAGAAGAAAGAAAAAAAAACCTAGTTGTAAAAGGAGAATCATTTTTCAAATAGCAGTGAATATCACAGGATAGCACTGCAGAATATATTTCAAAGGAAATGGAACAATCTTGTAATTTCAAGGCAAGAACCACAACACAAATATTTTGTTTTAAGTACAGGAGGAATCAACATAGATGATAGCATGCTCGTATGACCTCCAAGACAAAACATAATGTTTTTTATGATGTCAGACGTTGCCCATCATATTCTTATTACTCCTAAAGTTTCAGTCTGTACATCGAAGGAGTTAAATGCAAAAACCTCAATTAAATGAAGTTAATTATTTTGTTGTGTTTTAGTACATGTACTTACAGATATTGATTCTTTAAAATGTGTAAAAAGTACAGTATATAAACAGGGCACTCACCACTTAGGAACAGTGTCATCATGTGTGATTCCCTAAAATAATAAAAGAAAATATTTAATCTTTTAACAATTGTAATTTAAACTTATTTTAAGCCAGCAGCCATATCACCCTGCAACTCAAAACTGGCAACACACTGAAGTTAAACAAATGTGAGCCTGGTCAGTACCTGGATGGGAGACCTCCTGGGAAAAACTAAGGTTGCTGCTGGAAGAGGTGTTAGTGGGGCCAGCAGGGGGCGCTCACCCTGCAGTCCATGTGGTTCCTAATGCCCCAGTATAGTGACAGGGACACTATACTCTAAAACAGGCGCCGTCCTTCGGATGAGATGTAAAACCGAGGTCCTGACTTTCTGTGGTCATTAATAATCCCAGGGTGTTTCTTGAAAAGAGTAGGAGTGTAACCCCAGCTTCCCGGCCAAATTTCCCATTGGCCCTTACCAATCTTAGTCTGCTAATAATCCCCATCTATGAATTGGCTTCATTACTCTGTTCTCCTCCCCAGATAGCTGGTGTGTGGTGAGAGTACTGGTACAATATGGCTGCCATCGCATCATCCAAATGGGGGTTGCACATTGGTGGTGATGGAGGGGAGTCCTCATTATCTGAGTGGAGTGTCCAGAAAAGAGCTATATGTGTAAGCAATTATTATTATTTAAATTTGTATTGTTTCACATGCACTGTACTGTAAGGAATGTCTGGTTCAGTCAAGTATAAACCTTTCAGTGAAAATGATGAAACTTCTTTCACAAAACTTCCTACAAGAATTTAAGCAATAATAAATCATTTTGCTTGCAATCAAAGGAACAAGATGACTCAGTGTCAATGACAGCCTATAGGTTTTCTTACGTTCGTAGACATAAAAATAAATTGGTGTGAAAAATATAAAAAGCTGTTTTGTTTTTTTTCCAGAGATACAGTATACTAAATAAACACAAGAATTTCCATTAATAAGTGCAGTATTAGGGGGTGGGTGTTGTTTTGATTTTGATTTAATTTTCATATTTAAGGGGCTGAGCTGTCTGGCTTTTCCTGGGACATCCTCAGCTATCCTTTGTGGACCCTTGAGGTCCATACAACCCCATTTGGAAAACCATGCTCTAACACGGTGAAATAATAAAACTTTATGTGCATGCAAGTATAGTCAGCAGCCACCAACCGACATAAGCACAGCTGCCACAGTTTTACACTTCTCTAAATTCTACAGTATCCTATCCAAGCTGACATGACACATGTTTCTTAAACAGAAGACAGAATCTAAGGATGTGGCCTTTTAGGGAACACTCACCATAACCTGTCAGCAGCCACTTTGTCTCCAGGTGTATTGCAATGCATGTTCAATCTTTATTTCACCTGTAGCCTAGAAAACAATGGAAGAGGAATCCAGTTTCTGCAGCTATTTCCCTGTGGTTGTCCAAGCGTGAAAAAGCATTACAATGGCTGTGGTCCTCTGTCACACGTGAAAGCACTGCCCAAGCAGGTTAGGTTTCTCTAAAGAAGGCCAAACAGCTCACAGACAAAAGAGTTCATGCCTGATCATGGTGAGAGTAATACTGTTTTTCATCACTAACAATAACACAGTCTATACTAGCACTACAGAGCGCAGGAATTCTGTGAAGATCTCAGATGTTTTGTCTTCATTTTTATTTTTGCTAGTAAAACGTGAAGGAATGAGAAAATTCAATCAAATCAACCTTTTGTTACATTTCTCCTGTTTATTTAGTATAACTTAGTATTGATTACCTCCCAAGAAGTTTCAGATTCAGTGTGTTGGATTGTGTCTTGGTTATGAAAAATACACATTTTTTGCTAGGCCCACTGTGAAGTTCTGTTCGCAGAATGATGAAGGGCAAGATCTCTGTTGTCCTGGGGGTCCAAAGTCTGATGTACCCTCACCACAAACAAGGAAAATAATATAAAAAGTTAACAAAATGCCTAGAGAATGTTTGACCCATAATTCTTATTTGGTTGCTATGCGCTCACTGATACAGAAAAAGGTAGACAGGTGAATTCAAACACCTACAGGTCATTATGAAAATAGTCACCTCTTGTATTCTTTGCTAATTAGACTTGCACTTGACTTCAATTAATATGCTTTGGATTTGTGTTTTGGCTGTACAGTTCATATTTGATTAATGTGTTTTTAGATGTACAAGCTGTTTAAGATCATCAGCACAGCAAGTTAAGTTTTTGCACCTACAGTATGAAGAGATGATTCCCTTGTTGAACGTGTGTCAGATTTATAAGAAAGTCTGATGCCCTTTTGAGGAGTTGATTTTTTTCAGGAGAGAGGCAGAGAAACATGTTAAGACTACCAGGATAACATGCTTTCCAGTTTTTTCTGGAACAAATCTTACAGTACATATCTGCAGGGGCTTTATACATATCTGCTTTATTGTCATGTAACAGCAAGTTAAGGTTGTGTAGAGTAGCCATAGAGCTCAGTGTACACCAGGACATTTTGGGATAAGAGAAGATGTATTTAAAATTGCTCTGAAATAGTATCACAGTACACTTTCAGAAAAATGGCAACAGAATTGTCTGTTTTGTAAGTGCAGGACCTAAAAGAAACATCCAGTTAGCAATCAACCCATAGAAAGAGAGTCTTGGAGATTTTTGCCAGCCTCCAACTATAAACTGCTGTCTTGTACTAGACCTCATTACTCGTACAGTACATAAGGGCAAAAAGACAGGTGAAGGCAAGGACCAATCAAACAACTGTTTAACATTAACCTTGTTTACTTTGAGGCTCAAATCAAGTACATTAGTCACCACCTGTCTGCACATTGGCAGTACAGTACATGTGTAGGAATGTCAGGCTCAGCCAATTACCAGCCCTTCAGAAAAAAGGAAGTTTAAAATACCAGAATAACAACTGAGCTGAATATCTGATACAACTCACAACGTGTTTATGTGTGCGTCACTGGAAGGAGTTGGCAATAAGTAACACTAGGATTGCACAGTCTCATTTTCTCTGCCACTTCGCTTCCTTTTCTGTTAAATACTGCAAACAAAGCACCATTAAGATTTAGCTGCAGGTCAGTACTTCCTATTATACAGTATACTGTATGGTATAAATATAGATTATTTTCATATTTTAAAGTTTGATATGTAATTTCAGAATGTATACAGGTTGGTTTTAAATTACATACAAAAATTGTTCGTGCATGAAAGGCCTTGCATTTTTTTTCATGTCTATTATTGTTGGTTATTAATCCATTCCTGAGTGTGCTTTTCATGTATGCATGTTTTGTGCACATTCCTTTTCCTGTTTCATCTTAGGAAACCTGTGGGCATCAGCCTCTCAGGTCTGGACCAAGAAGCAATAAGAGACACAAAAGAAGAACAAGGCAAATGTGATACTCAGATTAATGGTAAAGAAAGCAGCACAAAATCACAAGTGGCTAAGAATACACTTCACACTGGCTTAGTTAGACAGCCACCAGGATACTACGTATCATTTTCAATGTTGTTTTGTAAACAGATATATGTCAAAGGGTACAATAACTGTAGCCCACCTGGGATTTGAACCCACAAACTTTGTGTTAGTGCAGAACATTAGTTTAATTAATTTCAATGCGCAAATTCCAGAAAAAATCCAATGAATACATACAATATTTGAATAAACGTGTGCATGGAATTACCCCAAATTAAAAAGTATATTGCACTGTACTTATCATTCATACTGATCTCATGATCATAAATACAAATTGCTTGACTGTAAAACAAAAAGTAACAGTTTTGACTGTGCTGTCCCAATACTTGTGAAAGGCGCTGTGCAATTATTGTAGGTATAAAACCTAGCAATGAAGCAAGACACAGTGTACATAATTGGAAATTAGGAGTAGAGGCATTTTCTTTAGCAGCACAGTGACACAGTGGTTAGCATTACAGGTTTGCAGGGCTTGGACCAAGGACTCAATTACTGTGGTGCTCTCTGTGTGAAGTAAATATGTTCTCCCTGTGTTTCCTTTCACAGGCCGAGATATACAGTACTGGTGGGTTAATTGGCTTCTGGAGAAAATTGGCCCACACAAAACCTGGTTTGAGTGCGGTATGAGTGTCTCGGCTCTCCCAGAACCTGTGTTGTGAAAAAGCAATTAGAAAATGGATTGATGGATTTTCTGTTTTTGTAACTGAATCTTGCTTTAAGAAATGGCGGGACGGGACTGATAATCTACTAAAAACCATTTTAGATTGGTGAGTCAATCCGGGCTCTTCTCAGCTTGTAACCTGTCCTAAGAGAACTGAGGGAAAAAGGTGGTGAGGAATTTCAAGAGACTCAGTGTGACAGTAGCTTGAAAATATTTATTGCCAGAACACACAAAAACTGAATGAGTCAGAGCACATCATAGGAGGAAATGAAATAACTGGAAGTTTAGGATACACACCCCACTTCTAAAACGCAAAGTTCCATAAACATTTATACATTTTTTTTTCAAAGACTGACTCATTCACATAGAAATGACAGAAACGTTTCTTTCTACATGCTTCTTATTGCAACACATCTGCCTTAAAACACTGAAACAGGAATCCCTAAATTAATGACTTGCAGAATATGACTGAGGAATTAAATATAATTCACTGAAGAAGTAAACATTGAACCTCTTTCCCAGTAACATTTGTGGCTAGCCCAGAAAATTTATAGATAACTTCCTCTTCTTCTTCAATGCAGCAGACCTTATAGAATGGATTAATTGAATACTAACTGCCAAAATGTAATCATAATAATGATCTTTTTGTACTGTGTCTTCCAAAACTCAAACCGCAGTCCCTTTTTTTAAAGAAAAATAGAAAACCACTAGATAAACCATAATAGTATAAACAGTATCTTCTTTTAGATTTACAGGTGTCTGAAATCATAACAACTGCCTGGACTGCAATAACTGCACAAAGTTATCTTTTCAATGAAAATTACATTCATCATGAATATATTACATTGGAACATACTGTAGCACTCAGACAGGTAATCTACATGAGGAAACCGTATATAAAATGTATCAATTTGGCTGTTAACAGTTCACGAATACATTAAAATAAACAGAGATCTCATCACTGCTTCAAAAGCAACAGACAACATTTTCTGTTTTAATTTAAAATAAAGTCCAAATTACATGACTAAATTTACCCTAGTTACCTACAGTACATGTTGTACTCAGCCTGTAAATTAAAGTTTGTAAGTAGATAGAACATATTTTGTTTCAGTAACAAAGAGGATTGAACCATATTATTAAAAATCAATCCCAATAAATCACATGACTACATGATGAATTCACAGTGAACAAAAACACATGGGAGAACTTAATCCATTCTGTTTCACACTATGTAAATTACTTTTCGGTTTTTGAAGTGCTTTAAATAAACAAAGTGAAAATACAGAGGAGAAAGAGATTATCACTGTCATAGTGATATGGAATCCCATGTTTTCCTGAAAGAAAAGAAGATGTTGAGGAAGAAATAGGTGAATGAGGAGAATCTTCCCTTACCTACAACCTTACAGTACGTGCCATTATGTGCTGGCAGCCATATCACCCTGCAACTCACAACTGGCTACCCACTGAAGCTAAGCAGGTGTGAGCCTGGTCAGTACCTTGATGGGAGACCTCCTGGGAAAAACTAAGGTTGCTGCTGGAAGTGGTGTTAAATATAGATTTAACTATATTGCTCACTCTGTGGTCCACGTGGGTCCTAATGCCCGGAATTGCCGAGAGTCGGATCCGACTGACCGGATAACATCATCATCATATTCTGGACTGTGAGCAACTCCACTTAGTGCACTTCTCACTGATTGGATTGTATGTATTGTATTCTTGTATTATTGTATCATTTCGTTACACTGTTGCTGTGTTGACTGTGTTAAGCTGCTGTTGCACAGCAATTTCCCTCACGGGATCAATAAAGTATCTATGTATTTGCCATAGGGTTATAATTTGTTTTATAACCACTGAGTTATAATACAAAAGAATACACTTTCATACATCTGACAAAAAGGGGCTTGCAATATTTTGCAATAATTAATGACATTAGTAAGTTAGAAAATAACATTTTCATGTAGTATGTAGCATTTCTTTGTATTAATCATGCATACTGTACATCAGTGCTCAGATTATTATTATTGAAAACACTGTTGATCATTACAGATAAAGTAAGTGTACTTTAGAATGTCTTTACTGCTGCTTTGTTGGGCATTAAATATGGTTGCTTCAGAGCAGGAGGTTGTGCATTTCTGGCTCATCCCAGATGCAGAGATGGAGTTTCTTAGGCTTCCGTTACATTTTGAAAAGGACATTTTTACATAAACATACTGGAAAGCTGAAAGGTTTTCGGAAGTGATCTTGGCAAACCTTACTCCTTTCTCTAATAATATGTGCATTATGAGTAATCCCGTCTAATATATCATCAATTCCTACCAAAACTACATGCTTCAAAATATCTCATTATAAATAGTCAAAACAAACAATTATAAAGCAAGAACAATCTTAGTTTTTTTTATGTTTTTTTTTTCCAGTACAGCTTCAACTCTTGGAGTTTTTCATTGCTTCGTATTGTTAATAACTGGGTAATTATCACCTGGTCACAATTTAAATACGATCTAACCAAAACACATAAACATCCATTTTTATGCAGTTTGTGACTGTTTTTTAGAAGAGATTAGAAAGTATTAAGTGTCTTAAAAAAACTATGTTCCCATGACAGTATTCAGTACACAGTTTTCTGGACAGCTTTCTTTTCAGACAATGTACAGTACCACTAAAACATCCATTTTTTTGCAGTTTGTGACTGTTTTTTAGAAGAGATTAGAAAGTATTAAGTGTCTTAAAAAACCTATGTTCCCATGACAGTATTCAGTACACAGTTTTCTGGACAGCTTTCTTTTCAGACAATGTACAGTACCACTAAAAAAAATAATTGAAATGTTATTGTTCTCAGACATCCATGACCTGATCAAGATACAGATATGATTTAATAATGTAAATTTCAAGTCAGAAACACACTGAAAATGGCAAACTTAAGTACACCAAATATGTGTTTTTTGTGGTTTGATTCATGGCACAATTGCACATGTAAAATTAAATGAAGGTTTTGCCAAATGTGATTTCATAAGGCAAAATATGATTTCTCATGCTTCGCTTTGTATTGGCAAACCACTCTCTCAGAGGCTGTTTAAGGACTCTTCTCATTAACAGCTTCACGGAACCCAGAGGAGGAAGATATTCCTCCCTGGCTTGTAAAAAAACCCCATCTTGGCTCATAAAACCTGACAAGTCGAAGCTGCAGCAGAGCTTGTCGTCATGTTGTGGCCGGTAATTCATCCCCGGCCCCTGCAGGAATGTGCTTGGCGTTTCACAAGCCCCGAGAATCACATTTTCCACAACGAAACCAGATGGTCCTCCATCCCTCCGATCCGTGTTTTGATTGGGACCATAAAACATGCAGGTGGCTCTGGCTGAAGGCGCTGGAAGAATGACAGCGCTCAGAGACAACAGCGGAAACACCATGCTCTTCAACAACATCCCCTCCCTCCTGCCCTCCCTCCAGACATCTATCAGCTCAACTCCAAAACAGAGTGCACCCTCCCTCCACAACATTCCTAACGAGCAGGATAAGATTTCCATTTCATACTGTCCAGCACAAACCAGTAAAAGGCATTAATTGGTTCTATGGTTTTTCCATCACTTGCATTAAGATCCTCCACCTGTACAATGCATTGAGAATAACAATGGTACTTGTGCTTTATTATAATGAGGTTTGAAGAGGCCATGGCCACCAAAAACAATTGAGAATCCATGAGTGTTTTGTTTCTTGGGAGAAACTTCTTAAATTAACCAAATACTGCAACCCTCATCAGACTTTAAGCATTATAATACCTACTTCTTCAATGTATTGTTTTCAACTTTCTTGTCATAGAATTTTGAAGTATATTTACAGGACAGAAGAAAATGCATATGAAGTGTTAAACCTGTAGCTGTGGATATAAACATTTGTAGATGCAGATTAGAAACAACAAGGGAAAGGTAAACAAAACTTTTTTCTGTCACCGGCTTCCTTTCGAACTAAACACCTTTCAAACAAATGATATTGAAACTTCTCACTGCAGAATCACTTCACAATTCTAGAAGATCACAGTAAGAATTGACAGCCCCCCACAATCTTGAATTGAGGATGTTGTTTCAAAAGGGGTGAAAAAAAACTTAAAGAAAACAACCACATACTCTGTAGATGATAAATGATCCCATTACAGAAAGATGAGTCATGTCATAATACCTAGGCAAGGCTATTTAAAGAAAACAGTGGAACACTAGCTTAAGTCTTCATGCTGCAAGGCGAAATGGTACATGTTTGTTTTAGATGAATCAAGTTTGAAAAGCCAACCAGAATAGCTAGTGTCTTTCTGAGTTAACCTTTTTGAAAAATAATAATTTCTGGTGACAGTAGAGGGACCAAAATCCCGCCCTTGTGATTTTACTGGCAAACACACTATGTTCCCTGTTGCTGATGTCTGACAGCTCCCTGACTACACTGAACAGGCACAGTTCACCTGGAAGATGGCCAGGTCAAATCATGCGCTCAACTTGCCATTCTCCAAAAAAATCAAGATGAGAAAAGTACAGTACCCAGAAACCATGACCTGACTGATTTTAAAAAAGGACAAAAAATTCTAGGATTTCACATTTCTCTGTTGGACAAATTATACTGTGCTTCATTAGAGAGCTAAATATTTATAAACATACTGGAGCTGTAGCAATTCATTACAAATGGAAGTTACTAACTGAAATTCTTGAGGGATGATGACAACCAAGCCATGTTTGTCCCAGGTGTTTTAAATCATAGTCATTCCGTACGTCATTTCTCAAAGCTATTCATATCATATTCAGATCCTCCACATTTCAAATTTCAAAAGAAATGGTAAAAAATGAATGGATAGATATTAGATAGAGTAACTAATTTCCTTACCCATAGCCACAAATATGCATTCCTATAATGCAAAGAAAATACAGACAAGCTTTAAAATATTGTTCATCCTTTCACAGGGTTAAATGAAGGGAATGTTCACTGCATTTGCAAAATGCGTCTCAGATATATTTAAACAGAAGAGCAGTGACAAATGAGAGAAAGCCATTCAACCCACACAAAGCTAATTTCTTTCAGTAAATAATAAACCCAAGGATTTCAACCAACTATTTCTTAAATGATGCCAGGAAAACATAATCCACAACATGACTGGGTAGCTTGCTCCATACTCTCAGAATCCTCAGTAAAAAGTGCTTCCTTTTTAAATGTTCTTCCATATGGTTTCCACTTGTGTTATCTGGTTTATGTTTTACTGTTGACTCCGAAGAAGTCCATAGAATTGACTTTGTCAATGTCTCTGAGGTTTTATATGATTCAGTTGGGTTCTCTTGTAGTGTTCTTTGTTTAAGACTGAGACGATGGAATTATTTGAGTCTCTCGAATTAATACATTACTGTAAGTGCAATAATGTGTCTGGTGGATCTTCTCTGAACTCATCCCAGAACAGCATTAGTTTCTTGTACTGTAGCTTGGTAACTAAAACTGTACATAACATATTAAAAGACATCTAAAACAAACTATTCCTTGATTTGATATCTACAAATTTAAAAAAATATCCTAACATTCTGTTTGCCTTTTTATTGTTTCACCACATTGCCAGGATGATGGAAAGTACATCCCAGTATATACAGTATCTCTACTGTATATTCAGAAAAGTAGTCTCTTCAAGCTTAATGTTTTTAATTTCATATTTTTAGTATGTTTTTGCTACCTGCAAGTAGTTATCTATATTTAATGCCATCTGCCAGGTGAATTCCCAGTTCTGAATTTTGGTTTTCTTTTGCAGCTTCTATATTGTTTTATAATCTTTGTTTAGGAAAATCTGAAAAGTTATTTATATATTTATATTTAAAAACTATAGCAGTTTATCATTGATAATTGTTAATTGGGAAGAGCAGTGCTCCTATTACAGATCCTTGTGGTATTCCCTCTCTTCTATCTCTACCTGTCACGACAGAACACTACATGCAGCTACATGAATCCACTAATGCTGTATTCACAACCTTCCCACTCCAGTAGCTGTGTTTCCGTCAATCCAATTGTCACGAAGCGTCTTTTAGGACCCTATGTAGATGGCATAATCTGGAGGGGAGTGAAAAACACGGGGAAAAAAGGACTGGAAGGGGCTGGAAGAGGTACAGGGGGGCATGTCCAAGGTCTGCCAGTGCTCGGGGAGGCATGGTCCAAGGCATACAAGTCTGAGTGGTGTTCGTAGGAGATCCAGGGAATGCAAATTAGTATATATCTTACTAATTTATTTTTTTATGTTATGGAATCAGAAATTCAATATTCAAAAAAATAAAATCAGAGGAGCAGGGGGTAATTGTGCTCTGAAAATCATATTAAACTCGGGTTTTTACTCAAATAATGCATATTTAATTAATGAAACCAGTCAGGTCAGTGAAAAGCTTATTAAAATGTAACGAACATTTGGGCTGTTTGTTTAGCCAGATAGAAGGAATCTGGTCAGGGATCACTGGGCTAAAAAGTGAAAGGCCCATTGAAGTTACAAACAATGCCAAAAAATCAAAATGTTTCAGGGATGTTTTACCATCACATGACAAGCCCAATGGCCTTGCATTCATTTGGAGAAGCTGCAAAGTATTAGAGATCCACGGCAGTTTGAATCAGTTCACAGGAAGAAAACCAGCGCGGGTTTGGTTTTGCTTTCTGTCCATGACGAATTTGATCAGAATCACATGGTGATGTACTCACACTCACTCACTCATATGACTCAGCAGCACTGCAATACTGACCCAGCCAAAGGT